AGGTTGGTTTAAGGAAAGAAGCCACCTCTACAACACAAAAGTACAAGGCGAAGTGGAAATGCTGATGTAGAGGCCACAGCTAACTAGCCAGAAGATCCTGCTAAGGTAATTCCAGAAGATGACCCCATTTAGCAGCAGATTTTCAACGTAGACAAAATAGCTTCCTATTCAAAGAAGATGCCGTCTAGGACTTTCATAACTAGAGAAAAGAAGCCAATGGCTGGCTTCAGAGCTTCAAAGAACCTGCTGACTCCCTTGTGAGGAGCTAATGCAGCTGGTGAGTTTCCGTGGAAGCCAGTGCTCATTTACCATTCTGCAAATCCTAGGGCCCCGAAGAATTATGCTAACTCTCTTCTGCCTGTGCTCTATAAATGGAACAACAAAGTCTCGATTAGAGCACATCTGTTGACAACATGGTTTACAGAATATTTTCAGCCCACCACTGAGACCTACCACTCAAAAAAAGAAAAGGTTCCTTTCAAAATATCACTGCTTGTGGACAATGTACCTAGGCAGCCTGGCGCTGTGATGGGGAGGCCTGCTAACCCAGTGTGTACTCTGCAGCCCACGGATCAAGGAGTAACTTCAACATTCAAGTGTGATTATCTAACAACTACATTTCGTAAGGTTATTGCGGCCATAGACAGGGATTCCTCTGATGAATCAGCAAAATGAATTGAAAGCTTCTGAAAAAAATTCACCTTTGTAGATTCCACTAAGACCATTCATTTGTGGTTCATGGGAAGAGGTCAAACGATCAGCATTAATAGGAATTTGGAAGAAGTTGACTTCAACTTTCTTGGGTGACTTTGAGAGGTTCAAGACTTTGTTGGAGGAAGTAACTGCAGATGTGGTGGAAAGAGCAAGAGAAGGAGAAGTACAAGTGGAGCCTCAAGGTGCGACTGAATTGCTGGTCTCACGATCAAACCTGAACGATGGGGGTTTCTTCTTAGGGATGAGCAAAATCAGTGGCTTCGTGAGATGGAACCTCCTCATGGGGAAGATGCTGTAAAGACTGTGGAAATGACAATGAAGGATTGAGAATATTATACAGACTTAGTTGAAGAAAACAGCAACAGGGTTTGAGAAGATCGACTCCAATACTGAAAGAAGTTCCACTGTGGGTAAAATGCCGCCAAACAGCACCACAGAGGGAGCAGCCATCAAAGGAAGAGTCATTTGATGTGACAATCTTCAGAAGCCACCACCCTGGTCAGTCAGCACCACCAACATCAAGGCAAGACCCTCCACCAGCAAAAAGATTATGACTCCCTGAGGGCCCAGATGATGGCTAGCATTTTTAGCAATAAAGTGTTTTTTAATTAAGGTATTTACATTGTTTTTGATGCATGATGTTATTGTATGCTTAATACACTACAGTATAGTGTGAACATAACTATTATATGCACTAGGAAACCAAGCGCAATTGTGTCACAATTTGTGTGACTTGCTTTATCATAATGTTAGCTTTATTACGGTGATCTGGAACTAAACCCACTATGTCTCCAAGTTATGCCTGTGTTATCTCTCACAGCGCAGAGAACTAACCACTATACGATCCGGACAGGCTAGAAGCCTGGAAGCCCTGGTTGTCTTTCAGATCACACAGTCTTCACCCTAGTTCAGTGCACCATGATCGGAAGAAAACTCCCAGTCCCTGGCTTCTTCTTGGAAAGGGTTGGAATGTGCACATAATATTCTGGGTTTTTAGGGTGCTGCCCAGGTGACTGGATTCTGTCTTACTTATCCCAGAGCTCTGAGGGGACCTGGCACACTCTAGGTGCCTGGGGGACACTGAGGACCAAAGTGAGCTAGCTGGGCAGCTTCCATCTGCTCCACAGGGCCCACGTACAGAGACAGAGAAAAACACAGCTTGGCAACCTCTCCATCATGGGGCAAGAAAAGAACGGAGCCATGCCGAACATTTCTGCTTTGAAAGGAGCTACCCAAAGGAATGGTTTCTGTCTTGCCCTAGTCAGAGTGCTGATGGGATGTAGCATATTCTAGAAACTGGGGGACCACTGAGAATAAAAGAGACCTGAGTGGCTCCCAATAGCTCCAGAAATCTGCAGTACTACTGACAGACACCAGAGGTAGCAAGAGATTCAAGCTCCTGAAAAAAGAAAAGGGCAAATCCATCTACTTTACCAGTCCAAATCCAGAGAAGATAATCCATACATAGCAAAGGCTTGAGAGGCGTCTCAAGATGGGATGGTTGGTGGAAGTCTTTTCCTATACGTCAGTCAGTCTGAAAAGGCTGAGAGAGGCGGCCATTCTTTCACATGGATACGTCACCACACGAAGTTACCAGGCGCACAAAAAAACAGGGAAGCTCAATCAAAGGAAGAAGATAAATCTCCAGAAATCAAGTTATAATAATATATGTATTGATGAGGTTTTAAAGGATGACTAAATGGGAAAATAAACATGGAAAACACTTTGAAATTTATGAGAATCATAATGAATAAAATGTAATTCCAATATGGGATTGCTGGCTCACTTGCCTTCCTCCCTATTTATTGCTGCTCTTGGTCCTTGAAGCCATGCCATTATAAAGATTTCTTTTATCAGAAGAAATTCTATTCAAAGAGAAAAAAAGTAATTTATTAGCGCCATCCGGGTTATAAAGGTAAGTCATACAACAACAAATAATAGGCAACTTCTTCATTGAAAAATACTGAATAAGCACAAAAATGCTTAAAATTTTTAAAAAGCAACAAGACTCAACCGGTAGTGAATATTAGGAAAGCTAAAGTGGATTGCCTGTGTGCAGCAGAAAGGAAAAAATAGGCCCTGTATTAAGCTCTGTTTGTTGCCATTCCAAAAACAACGTAGTAAAAATGATCAGTTGGCACCTCCAGGTTGTCTCCACCTGCCATGACCTTCAGGTCATTTTCATGATTCTCAATAAACCTGGGTGGTGCCATGCAGTGGGAGCGTTTACAGATTCACACAGAGTTTCCTTCAGCATAGTCCTAATTACAGGCTTTTTATCTCTGTCCAAGACCAAACACACCTCACTTCAGATGCTAAGAATCAGATGCTTCAACCCAAAAAAACGAGGATGAGGTGGAAGTAGGGGATAAGAAGATGATGATAGCAAACAAACTTGATGCTTTTAAAGCACCTAAATGCTTTACTGGGATTATCTCTTCATGGCAACCCTATTTGATACATATTCTTTCCTTAGTCCAGGTAAATCATTTATTTTTTAAAAGATTTTGTGTATTTATTTTTAGACTTTATTTCATTTATTTTATTTATTTTGATTCCCTAAGGGGAGGGGAGAGAGAGAAACATCAATGTGAGAGAGAAACATTGATCGGTTGCCTTGCTTATGCCCCAACTGGGACCAAACATTTGACCCAGACATGGTCCCTGACCAAGAATCAATCCAGTGGCCTTTCGCTTTTCGAACAATGCCCATCCAACTGAGCCACAGCCGGTCAGGGCCCAGATAGATCTTTTAAAGCTTAAGGAGCAAAATGGCTTGCTTAAAATGGCACTTCTAGAAGAGTACTCAAGTGGAGTTTAAAATACATCTACTTGATCCCAAAGTTTAGGCTTTACCTGTACTCTAAGATACCTCCAAGACAACTTGTAGCTCTTCTAAAACCCAAAGATTTCTCATACCTCTTAAGAGTATGAGGCGCAAAGAGAGTGAAGTAATAGTGATCTCACGTAGGAACAGGCAATGAGATGGGTGGGACCATGACATTAGTTGTCAGGTTCACTGTCACTACTGAAAATGTTGCTATCATCTAAAAATAGTACAGAATTCAGTATATAAGTCTATGAGGACCCTTTTCAAAATTTAAGTCAAATAGTGAAATGCAGAAGTGTCTGAATGTCATAGGAGCTAAACAAGGGTCAGAGAATATTAGCTGACCCTCATCTAATTTTCAATAAAACTTGAACTTGTGTATTCTCAAATGCAGAGGGCTCTGCAGAGCAGAGGTAGAAATTGAGAATTAGTGGCAAGAGGAAATAAAAGAGGAAAGGTCTTGGGACAAGAAGCTCTATTAAAACCAACAATGATTTCTTCCCTCAACCTATGATTTCAACTCATTTGAATGATGTAAAACCAACCATTAGATGAGGGTGAATGTTTTCAACAACCAGTCAGACCTCTTGTTAACAGAAAGTTCCAGGGCTGCCTTCTCAACCAGGCTTGACTTCCGTTTGAGGCAAAAATCTACAACAAAAATAGAGCTACTCCAAGGAGGCTTAAACTGAAATGTTTAAGTCATTTGGGGATTAAATTTTAAAACAAAAATGTTTCTCCATAAAGATACTAACCTGTTATCATCTAATAAATTAAAACTAAATTCGTTTTTATTCAAAAACTCTGTTTTTTGTGCAGTAATAAATTGCTTTTCTTTGGGATCTGGAGATGCAATGACCAATCACCCTCCTAGACGGCTAGCAAAGGCAGTTATCGGAGTTATCCTTTGTCCTGATGGGCCATGAGGGGTGCCTATGGCAAGAGGGTCACACCAGAGACTCATCTTTCCTATCTTACCACGGTGAGTGCCATGATTGACACTCCTGGTCTGCCTTATATTTTTCTCTCATTTGCCCCAGCAAAGCATCTCTGTCAACAGAGGTCATTTAACCAGGAGGGCCTCCAGCAAGCTCACCCCCATGTCCATGAACGTCCACTGGCAGTTCCAAAGCAGGGCAGAGGGAAAAAAAAGCAGCGAGACACCAGGACAGACATACAGACGAGCAGGAACAGAAGAGGATGAGGAGGAACGATGGGAAGAAGAGATAAGGGAAAAGGAGAAGAAAAGACGGCAGAGGTAAGAAAACAGGGGAGAAGGGTAGAGAGGAGACAAACTGTGGGGAAGCAGCCTAGCTGAGGAGGAAGGTGGACCAGGGTCCCTGCAGGGTACATCAGGACAGCTTTGTGCTCTGAGCTGTCTCCTCTAGCTCTTTCTCTTTCTGCCCCCGTTAGAGGAAGCAGAGGAAGCGGAGGAACTCCTGGTCTGGGCCGTTACCTGGATGAGTTCGTCCAGCTCAGTCGAGTTGACACAGGCGTGCTGGGAAATGAACGTCTGCTTCTGGATCACAATGGTGGTTCTCTGGGAAATCTCGTGCGGCTGCTCCAGCGCCTTGAACACGGTGGCTCCGATGATCAGGTAGAGGACGACCACCAGGAAAATCGTCGAGACCGTCTTCCATTTCATAACATTAATGGTCGTGTCACTCTCCACTCGAGAAGCAAGCACTGTGGGTTTCGTGGAAAACGAGAGCCTCGGTTTGGAGTTCTGAGCGGCAGATTTTGGATCCAGCAAATCAGGTGCCGCCACTGACAATGACAGAGAATGAGGGTTAGGTTGGAGGAGACCAGAGGGGTAGTGGTGGGCTTAAGGGATCAGCCAAGGTTTTTGACTGAACTCTGTTCCCCTGGTGGAAGCTCTGGGCCGTATATGAGTTCAAGGAAAAGGGGCGGAGTCTTAGCTCTCCGCTGCTATTGGGGATCAGGAAAAAAACAACAACAGGAGGTGGACCAGGAAACTTAAAAAAAAAATCAAAGCATGCCTGACTCTTCCTAATTAATTCCAAAATCTATATATGTCTGCCATGCGAGGCAACAAAAACTCAGTGAATTCCTAAGAGTTGATGATACTAGATATTTGAAAACTCATGGAGAAGAAGGCTCTTCCGTCGTTCTTCTCAAGTGCTTAACACTTCACACCACAAAATCACTATAATAAAGGCAATGCATTGTAAGTGAATTCGTGACTCAAGTCCTATTTGTTCAAAGTAAAACATTAGTAATTTTCTGGTAATACACGATAATAAATAAACCACAATAGCCCAATCATTTCTTTTTGCTTTATCCGCTGCAGTGGGGTCATGATTAAGCACTCTCTAGATTTTGCTATTTGATCTCTGACGTGTTTATAAAAATAAAAGTATTGCCACCCGTTTTGGCAGAATCCTTGGTGCAGATGAGACATGACTAGTTTCTTCCATTTCAACAGCGAACATTATCAAGAAAAAAATTAAACCCTTGTCTCACACCTTGGACCCTACACCGCTCTGTGCAAAGCTAATTGCTGCATTAGAGTGAATTTATGTGTTCTCTTACAAATTCCCATATACTCTGAGGTGAATCTAAATTCATTTATTATTTATCTCAGCTGTTCAAAAATATCATTAATGGATTCCTTTTTAGCAAATACAAGAGGTACCAGATTTCCACTTACTGAGGGGAAAATAAGTCATTTACTACAATACATTTGACTGGAACAGAAACATTAAACCAAAAGGGGTAATAGAATGGCCCCAAAACAGGGGGTGCGAGCCACTGACACAGCTAGAATAATCAATTATTTAATTGATTATGGTTGTCCATGGTTGTTACAAGTAAAATTATTGTGTATAGTATGGGTTTAATAAAATGATACCCTAATCTAAAAGGCACTTTTGGGTAAGCATGGATATCCCTATGGAATAGCACCCAAATACCCTCCAGGAACCTGAAATTACTTGAGAAAAAGAAGGAAATAGAGGGTGTCAGCTTTCACAGGGCGACATACATTGCCCTCCTGTCTACCAGAGTTAAATGTAGGGCTACCGCAGTTTGAGTTCATAAAATAAATCTTCAGCTACCCATCACACACACACACACACACACACACACACACACACACACACACGGGCTTTGCAAACCCAGGTATGTTCAGCACCAGACCTAAGCAGTGTTGTAAAATGATGGCAAATCTCTAAATGGTTCTCATTCTGAGGAGATGAAGTCAGGGCTTAATGAGGTAACTGTACCTGTATATACGTGAATCTCCGCACACCTGCATTACAGAAATCTCCTATGGTCCAACCTCTTCAGTACAGGGATGTGCAGTCTTCCCTCCCTGACACACTCCTCTGCTCTGAATAAAGCCCTGCACTAGGAGACACCTTTAACAGCTAATGTTTACACAGGCAACTTCACTCAAAATTAGCACTGCAAATGTGTTCAGTATTTTAATTTTTTTAAAGAAAAACTTTTTAAATAGAAAAGCTGATAATAGCTAAAAATTACTGTCATCTGCTGTCTAGCCACCCCAGCCAACCTCCCAGCCTCTTGATGAGTCTGATGAAAAATAAAGGTCATCATCTAAAATTAGGCTGTTTTTGAAATACAAATAACAAAATCACACAGAAGCTCAATATCTCTCTGAAGAAAGCTTCCCAAGACTTTCTCTCTAGATCTCTGTTCTTCCTTATTTCTGTTTTTTTCATATTAGTGGTTTCCAGTCTTGTAGAACTGGAAAACCCCAAGACTGTACATGCATGCTCCCCAAATCCCAACTGTAAATCTCACTGCCAAACCAGACCTTATCATTATGTGCCTTTGGAGAAGGGGGGCAGGTATTTTTTTAAACATTGTGGGTGTCTCTACGCTAATACATTTCCTGATGGAGTTTAATTCTTTTAAGCTATTGCCCTATTTTAAATTAACATTAATACATATAATGCACATTTGGCAGACAGAATGGGCACCAAAATAAAACAACGGCCTTTCTTCTCGGTCTAATGTGGGGAACCCTCTGGGTTTCCATCTCCATTGCTTTGGTGAAGAGAAGCCCCTCAGCACGAGGAATCCGAGACCAGCCCCCTCCACACACGCCGAGCACCGCCACTACCTCCCTGCTCTGCCCCCCGCACCTCTTAGTCCACGTCTCCCATCCTCACCCAGCTGTGTCTTCCTTGCTCCACTCCCGGGTTCAATGGACGACTCAATACCAGGAGAAACGAGCCTTTTTCAGCACCACTGCCAATCCCACCACGCGACAGGCAACAAGTGTGACCAGGGTCACCTCGCGCCCTGCCAGTCGGCTACCCCGAGGGCTGATCCTCCTCCTCCTTGGGAAACTCCCCCCCAGGTGTCTCAGACCCATCCCCAGGGCAGATACCAACCCTCAGGCACCAGCGGGAGAGGAGGGGTTGGGGGGAGAAGCAGCGAGGAGGGGATCGGGGATGGGGGATACAGGTTTGCCTCCAAGCCCAGATCAAGACCCAACACCTTGGACGGGAAACGAAGGTGGAAAACGTCCGCTCGCAGCCCCAGGGGCGTTTGCAGCCCCCCCCCCCCCCCTCCGACAGGCTGGGGCGGGAAAGCGCGGGGCGGGAGGTGGACGGGGGTCCCCGAGGTCTCACCTCCTGCTCTATAGCCGGGTCTCTCCCGCGAGGCGCTGGGAAGCATGAGGCATGCAGCATTCAAAATGTTTTTTAAAAAGACGGACTTGAACCTTCTACAAACACGCCATTGTACTCACTTCTTATTCAGAGACCGGCTGCGCGCTCCGAGCTGCACGGGCAGGCATTTTCCCCGGCTTTGTTTTACAAGGTGGGGAGAGCCGGGCTGGACGCGGGAGGGGGTGGGGGGAGCGTGAGAAGAAACGAAATCGCGGGAAGGAGGGGACACCGGCGGGCTGGGCAGAGGGCGAGGCCGAGGCCAAGTTGGGCTCCGGCGCCGCCGCCCCCGCGCGCGCCTGTGGCCGGGCCCGGGTCACCCGGGGAGCGCGGGAGACCCGGGTCCCGCGCGGGCCCGCAGCCGCCGCCGCCGCCGCCGCCGCGGAGCGCTCCGCCCCGGGCTCGGCGCTGGCCCGGCCCCGGCGCGGCTCGGGGGCGGTCGGTGCAGCCCAGGCGGCCCTGCGCCCCGGCGTCTTTGTGCGCGAGCCTCGCGCAGCCCCTCTTCGCATGTCTTTGTGCGTCTCCCCCGGCCGAGCGCTCCGTGCCCCGCGCGGCTCTGGCCCGGGCTCGGCCGCGCTCCGCGGCGCTGCCTTCCAGGCTCGCCCGTTCCCTTCCCTCCTTTCGGAACTCCCTCCCCTCCGCCGCTTCCCCACTCCCCCCTCCAACGCCCGGGCTCGCCTCTCCGCACCCCGCCCAGCCCAACCCTCGTCGGCGTCGCCCCTGCCAGCCGCTCCCTTCGCAACCCCCCCTCCGCCCGCCCCCCGTCGGGGGACGCGGCCCTCGGACTCACCTGCTGCCTCTTCTCTCGGCCCCTTCCACTAACCCTGGCCCTGCCCAGACCCCCGCTCTCATTCCCCCGCACGCTGGGCTCCAACTCCTCTCCCTCCCAGGCGGGGTGAGTGGGGTAGAACCCAGATCCGGGGCTCGGGTTCCCGAACCCCTTGCACGGGAGCATCCTTCCCCCCGTTTGGGCCCCCAGGGTGGTGCAGAGAAGTGCCCCTTGGGCGCCGAACACCTCTGCCGCAGGGGCGGCCCCGGGGGTGCTGGCTTCTCCCTCCTGCCTGCGCCTCCGTGATCCAGTCACCGGCAGCCCCCTCCCGTTCTCCAAGGGTGCTTGACCTGGGCAGGGAGCTCGGGGCAGAATGTTCCGAACAAAAAGGATGGGGAACGCACCGGGAGCCAGGGTGAGTTCATCGAGGGATGCAGAGAAAAATTGGTTAGGGTCTCAGAGCAAGATCCCTTTGCTGGGGACTGGGGTTGCAAATGTTCTCCTTAGAGCAGCGGGGTGGGACACCTCGGACTTCTCAGTCTGTCTGGGCGCTCCCCACGCACCTCTGCTTCCAGATCCCCGCTTGGCAAGTACCGGTCCCCGCCCAGACTCTTCGACCGCCGCGCGGGGGCCGCGGAGGTGGCGGGCGCGGGTGAGGGAACCGAACCTGCAGAGGCCGGGCAGGCAGAGTCTAGGCTGCCGCTGTCGTGGGCGAGTCCTCTCCCCACACTCGGGAGGCAGCGGAACTCCTGTCCGTTTGTGAATTCGCTCTTCTTTCCACTTTGGCAGAGGGAATCCCCAGCTGACCTCCACCCTCCCACCTCCACCGTCTTGGAGAAAGGCTGCTTGGCCAGGGTGGAATCTTTCCCTGGTTACAAGGAGAGCTTCCTAAGGAAAGCTATCAACTGCAGACGTGAGAAACAAGTGAAGGCTACAAGCCATGAAGGAGGCAGGTGGAGCAGAAAGACTCGTGATTGTAAACAGAGTTGCCCCCCTATCGCAAGACTGTGGCCATCGATGATTTGAGATGTCCAATTATTTTGAAAATTCCGGGAGCGATTCAGCACCTCCTTCTCCTACTAAAAATGCCTTCCTTGTTAGGAATTCCTTCCTGCTGGAATGGAAATATGTTTTTCCTGACTTCTGCTCTCAGTAATCATAGAATCGGATGTCCTTTCTAAGATGTAAATCGGATCCTCTCATTTCCCAGATGTAAAACCCTTTCAAACTCTCTAGGTCACATACAATGTGCTTTCTGGTCACTTCTCTTTCACTCCAGGCCAGCCTGGGTACTGTCACTTCCTTACACGCCTTCCCGGTGCTTGCCCCAACCTCAGACAACTAAGATACTGTATCAGGAGTGTTCTCCGGAGAAACAGGGGGGCCGAGTATGCTATGTGTAAAAGGTTGGGTTTAAGGAATTGACTCACAGGACTGTGTGGACTGGCCAGTCCATCTGAAATCCTGAGGGCAGTTCTGGCAGACTGCAAACTCAGTCAAGTCGATACTTATCTTGAATTTCTTTTCTGGGAAACCTCAGGTTTGGCTCATGAGACCTTCAACTGATTCTTGAAGCCTCCTTACATCATCCAGAGTAATCTTTCCTTAAAGGCAACCGATGGTAGATGTTAGCCACCTCTTCAAAAACGCTTTTGTAGCCACCCTTAGATAAGTGTTTGACTAAGTAACTGGGTATGGTAGCCTAGTCTAGCTAACACGTAAAGCCAACCTCACCAGTATTATCCTCCAGATTCCCAGGTGTCTGGAAATGTCTGCTAAATCCTGACTATTCACTTTCTGAAGCAACGGGTACTTCCATCTTTGCCCTTGTCACATCGGCTGCACTTGTCCCATTATGTTGTGCTTTTTAAAAACTAGACTGTAAGCTCAGGGCGGGAATTAATCATGCCTCTCTGTTCCCATGGTATCCACGGTAACCAGGGACTGGAACTAACCAGGTGTTTGATGGACACCTCCATGAAGGTGTGAGTGCTGACCTCATTCACGGGGTCTCCCCGCAGGTGTTTGGAACCAGAGTATATACATATACAGGACATGAGATGAATTCACCACCCTCAGAACCATTTTCTACCCTGTTGCCAGCTTTTTGTTCTCTAGAGGAAATGATCCCAAATACTCTGACACTCTGGGTGAGTATTCTTCTTCTCCTTCTCCTCATTCTTCTTCTTTTTCTTCTCTTTATATACATTTTCCCTTTTGTTCAACAACTTGGTGATTCTTTATTCCCTCTGGGTGTTTTGCAGATTTAACCATGTCCTGCCAAGCACTGGTCCCCTGTCACACTGGTTAATGCTTACTGCAGTAGGGGATTAACTCATGGTTCAAAAATGCCTGTATAGCGCTTCCTTTTTCCCAGACTCACGAGATGTGGGACTCGCCACCTGTCCCAAAGGCTGAAATGCCATCGCTCCCTCCTTTTCTTCATCAATTAGTAGGTCGCAGTCGTCCTCCTAGGTCCCTTTTTGCATTCTTGTCACATTAAGCACACATGCATGGAGCGTGTGTGGGGAGGGGTGGACTTACTTTACAGAGACATTAAAACAAATTTTTTAAAAACAAAAAAACAAATTTCAAACTGTCACGTTAGCAGGAATCATTCCACTGCGCCAGCCTCCACCTCACGAACAATTTGGAAGGACCGAGAAGCCAGTCCCTACACTCATCTAGCGCTGTTTGGCACTGCAGCTCCCTCACGGCCCCCTCAAGTAAGCACTCCTACCCCTTTAAGAGCTTTATTGTGCCAAACACATATTAACTCAAGGTCTTTGAAGTAAGAGTTGGAAAAAAGGGAAATAGACTAGTTTGCATATCATTGCAACTGGAGAAACAAGGAAACAGGATGGACTGTCTTGTTTCATTTTATGCCTGAGTTACCCAATGCACAGAAATCCCATGAAGAGTATAACGGGAAGACTAGGTAGACGGGATTTCTTTTATACTGCAGGACACTGGACACCCCTGAATTCTATTTGAATGCATAGGAAAACCTGAAATATGTAGTTAAAAGATTTAGCTCCCCCAAATTCTGCACCGCCCTCATTCCAGGGCCTGCATGCCTGTTGTTCTGCTCTAACTAGCAGCACAAAATCCACAGAACTACTCTTTTATGCTCCTTCTGATTCCCTACTTTGGCCTACTCAAAATTCCACAGTTAGGAAAATGAGCATGCCACTGTCTTTCCCATAATTTCAATCAGACCTGGGATTTGGGCACCAAGGTGACTTCTTTGGTATCTTAACTCTACTATGTTTGAACCACGTGAGTTTGAGGGGGGGCCCCATTAGCTCTCTGGCCATTAGTTGCCTCAGCTACAACACAGAGGTAGTGCATTGAACTCACAAGAGGTTGTCATGAGAATTAAAGGGAAACAACATATATATGTTTCACATCGTAGGTCCTCAAAAGAATTCTTATTCTCCCCTGTGCTTGACTTAATCCTGTGAGCCAGGGCGCTTTTGGACAAGCAAGACCCCCACAAATTCCAACTCTATAATGAGTCTTGCCATGTATTTAATCTTCTCGATAACACAATTGCCCAGGCCTAAGATGAGGAGGAACAAATCACATTCATTCAATATTTTTGAATGCCTCCTAGGCACTGAATAGGAGCTCTGTGAATATAACAAGGTTTCTGCCTTCATTAAGATGGAAGATGCTAAAGAAGTACAAAATTAAAACTCAGATACCTGCAATATGGAGAGCATGCAGGGTGCTATGATGGAATCTAATGTTGGAGGGTCAGGGAAGACCTGGCTATGGAAGTGACACCCAAGTGGGACCCTGTGGATGAGCAAAGGTGAGATGGGGTGGGGTGGGAGAGGGGACAAGCACAATGAAAGGAAAGAGCTTCCTCAGAGGAAGAGACAGCATGTGGCAAGCCTGTGGCAAGAAGAAGCCTAGAGAACTCGAGGAACTCAGAGAGTGAGCATTGGTGGTGGACACGGATCAAACTGGAGAGGCGGGCGAAGACCAGGTCATGTGGCACCTGGATTTTAATTAATGGGACTTGGATGAATTTTCAGCAGAGGACTAACCTCATCAGATGGCATTAAAAAAATCATTTGGATTTCCATGTGGAGAACAGCCAGAGGTGAACAAAAATGGAAGCATGCAGACAGTGACTTTAGACATTATTGCTTTAGGCCAGAGATTCACGGTGACTTGGATGTCCATGAGAGATAGTAGGAGATCCACAGGGCTCTGTGATCCAGTGGGTATGGAGGTCAATGGTGAGGTCAAGGGTGGGCATTTTCCAGTAGGTTTCAGTTGACTGCAAACGGGGGAGACAGTACAGGCAGCACTTTAGTGAAATGCTTGCCTGATGTCCCTTGAACGGCACTAACCTTCCCCTCTCACAGCTTGTGAGGCTCACCCCTGACTGGGTGCAGCATGTGTCCTGGGTCTCAGCCAACACAGGCATGATTCCTGTCTCCCAGTTGGTTTGGGCATGGGCTTATGAACCACTCAACCAAGGGAATTTATGCCAGAGTTTCTGGGAAAAGAAACTTCCATGCTATTCCACTGACCTTGACCCCCAAAGCCTTAAAGACTTTGATGGCAATAACAGAGGACAAGCTACCTGAGAATGGAGCCATGCAGAGCAAGCAGAACCAGGAGGACCACATCCAGGTGACAACATCTACTCAGTCGCCTAAATCACACGACGCCGTACTGTACACATTTTTTTTTGGATAAGCCAGTTTCTGTCAAGATGTTTGACACTAGAAATCAAGAGTCCCATTTGACACATTGCAATATTAAATACTAAACAAAGTGAGAAATAATTTGCTTACATGGTGG